GGTATTTTGTGTTGTTGTTGGCGGAGCTCCTTTACCGCACGTCCACCCAATCCGCCATCTTGTTTGTTCTCTGCCTCCTTCTATCTTTTTTTAATGCTTTATGCATATTCAAGATTTTGCCCACAGAATCCCTAATACAAGTCAAGGCTTAAATTTTTTTCTTCAGTTCTTTCAGCTTGAGAAATGCTGAGCGCATTCTTTCCTTTTAGTTTTCTAACTCCAGGTCCTTGCACTTTCATTATAATACTTTGTCTTCTCAAGCTGCCCTTTCGAAAGTCTGTTCAGCTCTTTTACTTCCTCCAGTCACTTTAGCACCAAGCTTCAGAATCTCTCCTGTGGGCCTTTTTTCCTTTCCTGTCTCTTTAATAACCTTTTACTTTCAAAGTATGATGTTCTTGATGTCATCCCACAACTCTTCTGGTCTTCGGTCATTAGTGTTTATTGCAACAAATCTGTTCAGGTGAGGTATGTTCAAGGTCACATTTTGCTCTCGTAAACTTGTTTTAGTTTTCTTCAGCTTCAGCCTGAACTCACATACGAGCAACTGATGATCTGATTCTCAGTCTGCCCCTGGTTTTGCTTTGGCTGATACTATGGAGCTTTTCCACTGTCTCTTCCCACAGATGTAGTCAATGTGATTTCTGTGTATTCCATTTGGTGTTTAAAAAAAGTATTAGCAATGAATGTTATTGGTCTTATAAAATTCTATCATGCAGTCCCCAGCATCCTTTGTATCAATAAGGCTGTATTTTCAAACTACTGATCTTTCCTTTTTGTTTACAATCATCACATTCTAATTACCAGTATTTACGTAAGTACTTTAGTGTTTACTCTTTAAAGTATTCAAGAGCAAAGGTGTATCTGACCCAAGCCTTGGCATAGTTACTTAAATTTAATGATTTTTAACAGCAACTTGGGAATGTGATCACACTCATTTAAAGTTATATCTATGAGCCTGTAGTTCTATTTAGATTTACGTCTATATGTGTATACTCATTAAAAGAATTTCTGAGAGGCAAGTTCAAAGACTAAGAATATGCCCAATTTATCCCCACCTGATTCCACGCCCAACAAAAACCGCAACCACAAGCCCTTAAAGAAATAGCCTGATGCTCATGGTTAGTGTTTGTAATAGTTAAGGTATCATATTTTACAAACATTTGTATTCATGATAAACATCCCCCAACACTGTAGCGGAAACATTCATGAATTCTCCATGTTAGAAGCTTCTGGCTGACGGCTACTGAAGTCATTTGCTAATGTCAGTCTCTCTCCAGCTTCCTGATATCTGCAACTATGAGTAGATGAAAAAAGAATAACAATAGCAGCACTACCCTCACTGCAGCAATCTTAAAGGCTACACGAAAACAAAAACTCAATTCTCACTGAAGACTAGGAGAGTTACAAATCGAGATAATATTGGACTATCAGGGAACACTCTTACCAATAAGTGCCCGCTCCTTGGGAAGTTAGATCCATTCCATCTACACCATAACTATCATCATCCATAATCTTGGACAGACCAAAATCAGTGATTTTGATTTCCCCACATGCTGTTCCATCTACCAGAAGGATGTTTCCTATGAACAAAATATAAGAATCTTTTAATGAAATATAGATAACAAACTCTATCGCTAGCACTTAGGCTCACTTTAAGGAAGTAAGCGTATATTTAAAATGTGGTGATAAAACAAGAACACTTACAGTTCTACTAGTATTCCATTGACGTTTTAAAAACAGAATCTAAAAGTATGATTTTAGATGACTTATTATGACTTTAAAAATCTGTATTTTTCATAGCTTAAAAAACTAATAGACACATTCATTACTTACCTGGCTTAAGATCATAATGTATAATAGGGGGCTTGATCTCATTGAGATATCTTAGTGCATTCACAATCTGCATTACAATAGACCTAGCTTCTTTCTCTGTCATTAATTTATGTTGCTTCAGATAGAAATCCAAGTCATTGCCTTCACAGTATTCTAACACTGTACAAAACCTATAACACCAAAGAGAAAAAAGTTAGAATCACATATTGTATCCTATAATTAAGAATCACAATGGAGAAATATAATAAGGTATATATTTCAGCACTGGACTGCAAACCACAGGTCAGCAGTTCAAACTCACCAGCTGCTCCTCGAAAGCCTTAAACAAGGCTGCTAAGAATCAGGCACTTAACAACAACAACATCACTGTCACAGAATAGAGACTGTGAAAGCAATGATCTTTTACACATAATATGGAAAATAATAACATAGTCAAAAGATAACTAACAGATACAGTTATCTTATTTAAGCGTTTTCTGTATTTGATAATATATACACTGTATTTATTTGAAATCAGGTCTCATATAGATTTTATTTCATTACTACAACACTTTAAGATTTTCTTAAAAATGAAATCCTTTAAGTCACTTACGTATCTGTGTCCAAAGAGAAATAATCATAGAGTTTAACTATTCTGGGATGGTCCAGTTCTTTGTGTATTCTATACTCTCTGCAGGCATGTCTAAGGGAAGAGAATATATTAATTCTCCATATCATATAATTTTTTTTCTATTTATAAGAATAATAAAGTATTCATATTTACTTGTAGTAGTTTTCTTTCTTTTCATCTCTCCAACTTTTATTAAGCTGATGGATCTTCACAGCAGCATATCTTTGTTCATAAAGGTCAAAAGCCTAGGATTAAAGACAAATAACAGATATGACCAAATACTAGCTAAATGACTTAAGAGATTTAAAAAATACACTGGTGATAATTTTTGCAATAATACTGGATTAGAATACACATTACAGTTTTTAGCAATCATCTCAGCTAAGACTATATATAGTTCAGTGACACGTTATCTAAAATGAGATACAAATTCCATGGTGATAAAACAGAACACTGCACCTAATTGAATTTTTATATTCAAGCTTTATTATTTGCTTTTAACATAGACCTGCATCTCTACACTGGCAATAGCAATCAGCAGTCAGGAAAACAGATGGCTGTAAGGCTTTATGTGGGCTGGATAAAGCAAACCTTTTTCTGTTACTTTTTGCTATTAATTCTCCACCTCTTTTCTACTTCTGTGAAAACTGCTAAGTTCCTAACAAATTTCCAACTGGTTAAAAAAATTCCAAACTTTTATTTTGAAAATGTTCAAACATACCTAAGTAGGGAATAGTATAATAAATCCTTGTGTACCTGCTACACCATCTAGTTAAAAGAATCATCAATATTGTGTCAGTCTTGATTCATATACTTCCTATTCTTCATGCTTCCTTCCCCTACCTATTCCCCTGGAGTAGTTTTAAAGCAAATCCCAGACAATGTATCACTCCACCCTAAAATACTTTACTAGTTTCCTCTAAGAGAAAGATCTTAACAACAATTTAACCTAAATAGAAGCAATAAGGGTAAAACAATATAGCAAGTGTCACAAAATTATTAAAGTATGTCACCAATCATAATATAGGGTACAGTAGTTGACCCCACATAGGGCTGAACTGCTGACCTTCCAGTTAGCAGCTCAGTGCTTATCCTACAGCGCCACACTAGGACTCCACAGTTTTAATAAATATCTACTATTTGAACCGCTGACCTTGGGGTTAGCAGCCAAATGCCTGCACCATCAGGACTCCTTACATTAGATTAAGAAAGTTCAAAGTAACAGAAAAGATTAAAAAAAAAAAAGTCATGTGAGAAGTAAAGCAAACAAGTATAAAAGATAAAAAATTCAAAGGCAATTGTAATAAAGGTTAACAGAAGGAAATAAAATTGTAAGCGTTTCACTAGTAAAAAGTTAATTATCAGTATATACTGATTATAATAATTCACTATCTTTTCTTTCCATAATTAGGTGAGTGGGGATATAGTTTCCCATGAAGCTAATATGACAATCAGCCACTGATTAAATAAGAGATAAGTCTGTGTTTCTTGACTTACACTTGGTTTTATTTGTTTCCAATGGATCTGGCAACAATGCCTTTTAGGGACTGTGAACTGTAGTTTTAGTATTTAGGTCAGTTTGGTAGGTTCTCAAATCACGAGTGACAATTTGCATTTTCTAGTTTTTACATAAGCCTTTTCTTGAAAAGTCCTATCTATAGGGCTGGGGCTAAAATCAGTGGCAGAGGACATCATGAAAGCCATTACAAGGCACAGAAGCTGGGCAATAGTTAGGCTGAGACAATGTGAACTGTCTACTTTTGGCAGCTTTTAGATTCAAGTTAGTTTTAGATCCAAGGTGAGCCAATAGAATCGTTATTTCCTACCTGGTTGCCTGGGAAAGCCTACTTTAAACATTAAGTGCCTGAAGATGAACTACCATTGCTAGTTGTTGTACAGTCAGCCCCTAATGCATGGAGATCCCATGCACAACTGAGCAAAACGTTGGCTAGTCCTGCACCATCCCCATGATTGGCTACAAGCAGGACCGTTGAGATTCTTCAGGCCTTTCTTTCTAGTCTGTCTTAGTCTGAAAGCTCCACCCAAACCTGTTCAGTTTCACAGCAACACGCAAGCCTCCACTGCCAGACAGGTGGCTAACATAACGTGAATTGGAGAGCAATCAGATTTGGGTCTCCAGCATAGAATTCTACCACAGAACCACACCACTGTCGCAAAACATTAGAGTCAGAGCAAAAGGAATTGAAAAAGATGCTCAAAGATCATTTTTGCTGGGTGAGGAAGGTGTAACCATCATTTAATGACTTGTTCAAGTAAACAAAACACAACAATACATAGTAAGTACTTGAACCAAGATCAGAATTAAAGTTCTCAGACTCCAAATCCTGTAATTTTTTCTAGAGTCAAAACAAACAATCTAAAAAGTTTTCAGGAAACCAAGGATGCAGTCTGAGTCATTTAACAAAAAGGATTCTTAATAACAATAATGTTGTTAGTGGCCACCAAGTTGATTCTGACCCATGGTGATCCCATGTATGTCTGCACCAGAGTTTTCAACATGTGAATTTGTGGAAGCAAATAGCCAACCAGGCCTGTCTTCTGAGGCACCTCTGGATAACAATCTGCACCATCCGGGAACTCCCAAATAATGACAGTTTACAGTTACTAAGCACCACTGTTCTATGTGACTTGCATGTATTAGCAAAACTCCCTAATGAAGACAGCAAGGCAGAGGATAAGTAATAAGTCCAAGTTCACACAGTAAATAGCATTAATCAGGAATTGAGCCCCATCTGACTAGTTTCTTCACCACTAACAATTCTGATATACAATGAAGTACAAAGCATTACTAGAAGCTTAGCAAAGGCAGACCGAATCTGCTGAGATGCCGAGGGTCAGGGAAGCTTCTAAAAGAACTGAAGTTGAAGGTGAGAATGTGACCTTCAATATGACTTGCTCCTAACTAAAAATAAATGAGAGTCCACTGGGTCTTTTAAATCAACAGAACGGTCAGGTACCCTTTGTAGGCTGGTGTCTACAAAATTAACTGAAGAAGTGCAATACCCCAAAGAAAGGACCAGCTAAGAAGCTCTGAGGAAACAGGTTGTCTCAGCAGGCAAGAGACAATGAGGCCCTGAGCAGCAGAGACAGAGAAGAAGAAAGGGTCATCAACGGATTGGGGAGTGCTTAATGACATTAACAACAACAGCAGGCACCAGGGACTGGTTATATATTGGTGGAAGGCAGTTGAGGGAAATGAAAGCTTCTAATTTTTTTTTTTTACTTGAGGTACTGGGCAGATGACTGACAATGCTATCCACTGAAGTAGGGAACAGTGTTAGAAGAAGGGGTTTTGTACGAGAGGAAAATGATTTCTATTTCAGATGTGAGTTTGAGGTGTCTATGACGCATACAATGTGAGGCTAATAGGCAAGTCAGGTAATTCAGGCATGAATTCAGAAGAAAAGTTACATTAAAGGTGAAATCACATAGATGGCATAACTCAAGGAATGAAAGTGGATATCTTCCAGAGAGCAAATACAGAATGAAAAAGTAGGACTCAGGACTCTGATACTTAAAAGTGGAGAAAAAAGGCATTCTGTGGGGAAAAAAGGTAGACAGGTAGAAAACAAAGGTATGTGAATAAGAAAAATTTCTAAATTTATACTCATAGACTTGCCTTAAAAACGGTAGAAATGCAGGTAAACTAAGGACTTGTAAAGTTTCTGACATATTTCTAAATTAAAGGATACAATTTTTATAGACATATGTATTGTTTTAAATGGCTACCTGCCTATCTGCATTCAAACAGTTGTTAATATCAGCAGGTGACTGGCTAATGGACTAGATACCAAGTTTCAGAGGAACTTTGCAGGTACAAGGATAGTCTTTAAACTCTTATTTCACTATGAGAATCAGGGCATAAAATCAATAAACAAAAGACAAATGCTTCTTAAGCACATACTTCAGTATCTGCTGTATCAGTCTGAAGAATAGAATAAAATTTATATTACCTTATATACTTCACTAAAGCCACCTCTACCAAGCAGATGAAGTAACAAATATCTTTCATTTAACGTTGGGTGATCTTTGAACCTACAGGAGGGAAAAACACTCATGTAAATTAAAACATACAAAAAACCATTCCTTTCCCACTCATTATTCCACTCTTAACTCTTTCTTTCTGTTACTACACTATAACTGAGAATGTCATTTTGAACGCTTTCTTATTTCTTTTATCTACTACTTCTCTACCTGCATGATTATTTTCCATCTTAGGTTTTTGGTTCTTATGGCATTTACCTACTATAGCTAAATATTCGATTCAGTAACCAATTCCAGTACTCCTATGGTGGTGGTGGTGGTTATGTGTCCTGGAGTTGGTTTCCAACTCACAGCGACCCTGCATAAGGTTTCCAAGGCTGTAAGTCTTCATAGGAGCAGAAAGCTTCACCATTCTCCTGAAGAGTGGCTGGTAGTTTTAGACTGCTGACCTTGAGGTTAGCAAACCGACTTGTAACTACTATGCACTCCTACAGAAACCTAACAACCCCCCACACCACTGTGAGCTTGATGACACCTTCTATCTATCCAGCAAGAATTACTTCCCCTGGAAATATATGCTTGCATATTGGAATTAGGGTTAATCAAGAGTTTATAATATTGACCAATCATTAATGTTATTTATAATAAATTGGTCTTCATCATGATTAAATTTCAGTCTTTGGACTTTCATAAAATAAAAATTTAATTTCCAATTCAAAAAAGTAAAGTTAAAAAACGAAACAAAACACATATAGACAATACTACAGCTACTTTTACTGTGGTTGTTAAGTGCCGTCTAATCGCTTCTGACTCACAGAGACCCTATGTAGGGTTTCTGAGGATTTAAATCTTTGAGGGAGCAGAAAGCCTCATCTTTTTCCCTGAGGAGCGGGCTGGCAGACTCAAACTAGACTGTGTAATTCCCAGTCCAGTGCTTATTGTACATTTATTGCAGTTACAATGTATTAAGTGCTTACATATACTAACTCATCAATCCTTTCTCTACTACAGCTACATTACAGAGAACAATGTGGCAAAGAGAGATTAAGGAACTTCCCAAGGTCGACATGGGAATATGACAAGACTTAGTAAAAATGTATTTTCAAACTATGCACTATCTACAGTACAAAAAAATATACAAGCCAATGTTAGCTTTCTAGTTTTGCTACAATTATGCACTTATGTTAAGTGCTGTCCAGTCAGTTTTGACTCACAGTAACTAACCATTCATAGGGTTTCAAAGGAGTGGCTAGTGGGCTTGAACCACTGATCTTGTGGTTTACCAGTTCAGTGTTTATCCTACAGTGCCACACCAGGACTCCAATTATGGCATTAAATTCTATTATTTTATTCAAAATCAGTTGAATACAGCTTCGGTAATTTAAAATTATCTCTTAAATAATTTATAAATGAAACATGATCGTGTTTAGTTTTAAGTGACAATTCATTTACTTCTCATCATTTAGGCTACATCTATACCTACAAACAAGTTTGAACATAACTGATATGCTAATTTTAGTTTTAAAAATGTTTTTAAAAAAGTCGCAGTTTGGCAAAATTTAGCCTAGTCCATAATTCTATTATTTCATCTACCTCACATGCTGGAATAATCTATGTATTTATGAATCACACATACATTACTAATTACAAACAAGTCTTCTTCTAAGTAAGATATTCAAATCTCACAGCAGAAATTTGAACCTCAAGGTCGGTGGTTCAAACCCACCAGCCGCTCCTTAGAAGCCCTGTACAAGGTTGCTATGAATTGGGACTTGACAGCACTTAACAACAATGTAAGTCAAGAGGCTTTAAAATTGAATGACTAGTCTTAAAGACAGTCTGTGCACATATGCCCTTCCCTTTTAACCCATTGCCATCCAGTTAATCCTGACTTCTAGTGATGCTGTACAGGTTTCTGAGGCTGTAAATCTTCATAGGAGCAGGGTATGAAAGGCTGACTTTGTGTCCAGCGCTAATCCTACAACATCATCTACTGCCTTGCTTAGTTTGTTTCTATTATTTCCAGGAAGATTGGTTTAAACTATCTACCAGTCCACAGGTATTCTCCTTCTCTTGACTTTCTTTGTTGTTGTTAAGAGCAGTTGAGTCAGTTACAACTGATAGAGACCCTGTTTAGTGATTCAAAGGAGCAGCTGATAAGTTTGAAACAATGATTTTGCAAATCAAATGACCGTGAGGTCCAGTACTTATCCTACAGTGCCACACCAGGATTCCTGACATCCCTTTCTTTAGTACTTTATATCTATGGTACTCATTTTGATATCCAGGGGTTCAAGACAAGGACTATAATTAGCTTACATTATAGTGGGAGGAAACAAATAGTAAATAACTAAAATAATAAAGGTATAATTCCAGACAATGATAAATACTATGAAAAAAAATCAGGATAAGGATACCAAAAGAACTCCTGGACTGCAGCAGGGAGAGGACTGTATTTTAGATAAGGTAGCTTAGGGATATCCTCTCTAGTACCTATTTCTAATGAAATAAGGAGCAACTACACAGATATTTAGGAGCTCTGGTAGTGTAGTGGTTACAAATCGGGCTGGGAACCTTAAATTAAGGTCAGCGGTTCGAAACTACCAGCCACTCCGCGGGAGAAAGATGAGGCTTTCTACTCCTGTAAAGATTTACACCCTCGGAAACCCTGTACAGGGTCGCTATGGGTCGGAACTGACTTGATGGCACTTAACAACAACACAGATATTTAGAAAAAGAACATTCCATACAATGGAAATTGCCAGAACAAAAGCCCGGAGATGGGACTGCACTTGGCATGTTTGAGGCCAGGTGTCCAGGGGAGGTAAGGAAAATGGGAGTGGCCAGGGACCTGAGAAGATCATTTAAGACCTTTAGTAATCTGAGGAAGAAGTGACATAATCATGTTTATTTTATTTTTTTAAAGGATCAATAGTGGCTGCATAGGGATAATTTAGGGGCAAGAGGGAAAGATGACTTAATAGTTAAGAGGCCACTGCCTTAGACTAGGTGAGTCAATGCATCTATAATTATTGAGGCATAATAATTTATATAATTCCTGTCTGCCATCCAACAAAGAAGTATGGAGCTCCATAGCTTAAAAAAAAACCTAAAATAAAAAATCAGGCAAAATGTAAAATACAAATAATGACTTACTGTGAATTATCTTCATTGTTTATTCTTTTGAGTTCTCGAATATGAAGATTTCTGACTCTTTCCAAACGTTCAAGTTCTGCCTGGATTTCTGCCTCTTCCTGAAAATGAAGAGAGGGGACTATATAGCAAGCTCAATTTATTTCTGATACAAAAAAGGTATTTTTCACGCATGCATCATTTTTTACAGAGATGGTAAGAATATTATATTATAAAGCACCACTGAGTTAAAAGACTAAAGTGCTCTTTTCAAAACCTGAGAGATGGAAAGAGATAAGGCAAAAGCCTATTTCAGGAAACCATACTCCAGATAAAAATCTCTCTAATGAGATGCTGAGTTTTATTCTGACTATAAGAAATCTATTTTTATTATGTCTACATAGGAAATGATGGCAAGGTAGTCTAAAAACAACATAGAACACAAAACAAGCTGAAATTTTTATTTCTCTTCCATTCAGATTTTAATTCAAGAGGAAATAATATACTAGTATAAAACAAAGAAAATGAAATAAAGATATTTTATAACAGCTCAGAGAAAGAAGGTGAGAAGACAAAATTGCTAATTATTCCCAGACTTCAGAATATCTGAACTACATAAATACACACAACACACACAATCTGACCATTTATTACTGATAAATCTTTTTGTAGTCCTAAAGAGACATTAAAAATGTTACAGCCTGCTAAAGTAGAACCTCACTTACCAAATCCTCTTAACTAGGCAAATCCTAAAGAAATTTAGCATTCATTTCATATAGATATTTTTATTAGTATTAGTTTTTTAATGTTGCAATACAAATTTTTATTTTTTAACTAAATATCTAGACAAATAAATAAACGTAACTACCCATTACCACCCACATCATATAAATTAGTCAACATTAATAGTAGTACTGTAAGGATGGGTATTTCAGTAGACAGTTCTATAAATGCTCAATTATATATTTTTGGAGCCTGTATTTATTGAGTAAATAAGCAATACATTACTTACAATCTGTTACTTCAAAGTAAATATGTGCACAATACAATGAACAATTTGAGATAATGCGGAACAGAGGTTATTTCTGAACACAGCATATATCTCTTCTATGACTTTCTATTTTCTTTTAGTGTTGATTTTTTTTAAACCCTTTACACCTCAAAAAATGAGTAATTCTAACATTTACTTGAAAACTGTAAACATTACTACTTCATTCACAGATTAAAAAACTAACTCTAATTATGTTGCTTGCATTCCACTTGACCCTTGAGGCTATTTTTATGATTTCAAAATGAAATTCAACCAAAACTTGTAGCGATATTTAACGTAGATTTAGGTATTACATAACAAATAGAAACTTTCAAAATAAATTTTAAAACGGAAAAACTTTTCTAGAATGTCTTTTGGATATTTTTCTAAAATATGTACAATAAATAGTCTTAGTTTAACTGACAGTTCTTCATTTAATGTGGCTCTTTTCTAACCTTAGTTAGAAAAGAATTATAAAATTGAGTAAGAACTGACAACATAAAACTATGCCCTAAATATGAAAGAATCTAAACTTATTTATACCAGGAAATCTAGGAAACAGTAATTTTTTTCTCTTCATTAACTGATTCTTACAGATGAAGCATGCTCTTCAACATGTGATAAGCTGGTGTAATTTTAAACAATCTGATCAAAATTTGAAGTGCCTATTAGAATGCCAGCTGAAATTCTTGTTTTCAATTTTATTTGAAATTATGGACTGGGGATACTATTTAACCAGTGAATTTACAGAAGTTAAATTTTATTATGTCATAAATGTACAATTGCGAGATTCAACCAGATTATGATGTATATATATACAATTAGAATTCTTTTACAGCTTTGGGTATAATGACAGTAATTAACATCACAAAATAAGTATTAAAGAAAGCAAAATGTGTATCTATGTTAGTAAATTTAAGAAAGGTTTTTTTTCCATCTATAAAACATGTCAAAAGCATCCCATAAAATCTTACAAAGTGAGAGCACAAGTAAGCTTTATTCCATTTTGAATATTCTACTGGCAAGAAAGTGTCAGAGCAAGAGAGAGAGAGAGAAAAAAATATGAATTCTAGGTATTTAAAAAGAAATGCCAAGGAGGAAAATATAACCAAGCCTTACATACAGATAAACACAAATCTTCCATAATCGGTGAAATATATTTAAATCTTTCATCTTATAACTCAGTATTTATTCTATAGTATCTAGAACCTTAAAACAAAGTGACTTTTGGGAAAAAATAATTTTTCAGCTCTAAGAACTTCTCTCAAAAGTCACCAAGGAAAAAAGTAAACTTTTCAACGTAAATGCTACGGTAATACTCTCTAGTACCTTTGTCTTTTAGAAGACGCAAAGCTCAGTTTTGGCCCGACACAACAGTACAAAAGCCTAGAATACAATCACTTTATCTTTGGTGCAGATTACCTGACATTTAACAACAACTGATTTGAGACTATTAAACTCTGCGCCAACATTTAGAATTAATCTTGTTCACCCTGCTCAGAAGAAGCTAGGATGACCAATGTTTAATACTGATCTGAAATCATTATAGAATCCTAATATGCATGTCACTGTTAGGACAAGATTATTACAAGTAAAAGGGAGTCAATCCAATCAGCTACATTGTTGTTGTTGTTAGGTGCCATCGAGTCAGTACTGACCCATAGCAACCTTATGCAGAGCAGAATGAAACACTACATGATCCTGTGCCAACCTCACCACTGTTGCCACGCTTGAGTCCATCCATGCTGCCACTTGGCCAATCCATCTCATTGCGGGTCTTTGTCTTTTTCTCTGACCCTCCACCTTACCAAACATGATATCCTTTCTCCAGTGACTGGTCCCTCCTGACAATATGTCTGAAGTATGAGAGATGAAGTTTGGCCATCCTGGTCTCCAAGGAGCACTCTGGCTGCACTTCTTCCAAAACAGATCTATTGGTGCTTTTGGCAGCCCATGGCACTTTCAATATTCTCCTCCAACACCATAACTCAAAGGCATCAATTATTCTACGGTCTTCCTTATTCACTGTCCAGCTTTCGCATGCATATGAGGTTATCTAAAACACCATGGCTTCTTGGGTCAGGCGCACCTTAGTCCTCAAGCTGACATCTTTGCTCTTCAACACTTTAAAAAGCTCCTGTGCCGCAGATTTGCCTAATGCAATACATCATCTGATCTCTTGATTGCTGCTTCCGGGAATGTTGATAGTTGATCCAAGAAGAGTGAAGGAAGTCCTTGACAACTTCAATCTTTTCTCCATTGATACGGATGTTGTTTAATTGGTCCAGTGGTGAGAATTTTTGTTTTCTTTACATTAAGATGTAATCCATACCAAATGCTGTGCTCTTCTTCATCAGTAAATGTTTTAAGTCCTCTTCTCTTTCAGCAAGCAAGGTTTAACTGGCTTATAGAACTACTTTAGAACCTTTTATGATTAGTGTTTTTCTGACATTTTCTCTTCTGTACTTCATTTAAGGCGCTCTGATGGCACAGTGGTAAAAACACTTGGCTGCCAACCAAAAGGACAGTGGTTCAAACTTGGCAGCCGTGCTTCGGGAGAAAGATGCAGCAGCTGGTTTCCACAGAAGTTTACAGGCCTGGAAACGCTAAGGAGTAGCTCTATTCTGTTCTGTAGGGATGCTAGTCTGTGCTACAGAGTTGGAATTGACTAGATGAAAATGGCTTTTGGTTTTGGGCATTTCATTTCCTTGAGAGAAAGGCAAGTTTCCTTCTCTTTTCAAATGCATACATACATTTGCTGTTCAAATGGGCTCTGATTCATATGGACCTTATGTAACTGTTAAGTGCCCTTAAGTCAGTTCCAACTTAAAGCAACCCTGTAAATGGTTTCTGAGGAACGGCTGTTGAGTTTGAATCCCTGGAACCTGTGGTTCATATCAACCTTGTGGTTGGTTATCCTACAGCACCACAACAGGACTCTACCAACCTATGAATAACAGAACAAAATATGACCCGGTATGTGCCATCATGTTATCATGACTGTTGGTATGTTTGAGTCTATTTAAACACACCCCTAAATAGGACTGATTGTTAAGATGGGCAGGTTTTTATTCTGTCAGTTCCCTACTCTATTTAAGCAAAACACAAAAATAATCTATCTTTCCAGGAAGAAATGAATGTACTAAGGCATCTGATTGGCAAAATCTGAAATTATTTTTTATCATGCCAGTTGATCTTTGTGTCCCCTGAGTCTATGCTCCCCAGCTCTTAGGCCCACGGTCTGGTTAAGTCTAAGAAGTTTTCGTAACTTTGTCCCCTGTATGCTCTACCACGTTCATGGATGTATTTGCAGCACAGGCAAGTACACATAGAGAAATATCCTGTCAAACCCATATACATACCAGGGGGACTTCAAAAAGACCATGGTAAAATTCCATTCTCTTTTAACTCCTTTTCTCCACAAACTCTTTTAAGACCCTTCCATATTACTGAGTATAGTCTCATTCTCTCTCCAACACCTGTTCAGCGTACGTGTCTATCCATGCACTCACTTGTGGCTGGCTGGATGGCTGTGTGCTGTGGAGTCAGTTCCGAATCACAGCGACCCTATACAGGGTTTCCAAGGCTGTAAGTCTTTATGGGAGCAGAAAGCCTAATCTTTCTCCCATGGAAGAGCTGGTAGTTTCCAACAGCTGACCTTGCGGTTCACAGCCTGATTCGTAACCACTACACTATCAGAGTTCGTAGATCACCGTTATTGCAGGATTGTGTATATAAGAGTATGTAATATGAACCTCCGCATCCTATAACTCTTGCACGCCTCCTAGTGATTTCCTCTGCCTCTGTTTTTTTGTTGACTTTCCTATATAATGCCTTCCCCTTTATTGATATGAACATTAACTTAGTCTAGTGTAGACCTTCTTTTTCAGGATGCTGGTGAATTCCATATATTCTTGTAAGTTTTATTTAAAAAGTTTACTTTCTAGTTTTAATTTGAAGAGTCTTCTATGCTGTCATTTCTATGCATGTAAATGGTATATATTTATAGTTCTGATTGGGAAGATGCCAGTGATCAAGCAACCATTTTCTTTTTTGTCTGAAAAGTGATCTTTGGACTGAACTTCCAAACTT